TTAAGTTTCTTGGAATTATTCAAATTATCGGCAACTCATAAAATGTCACAGAATACAAATCAATATACATTATTAGCTCTTTTAGAAGCACATGTGCTATCATGGTGAATTATAGTCTTTAATTACAATCGCTTTATATTCATTGATATTTGCTACATCCGGATTTACTTTTATTGAGTGAATTTGAGGATGGGTTACCTTTATAACGTATTTAAACTTGCGCTGAATTTCAACCTGCAGCTACTGTTATGTATTGAGAAAAAAATTGTGTGTATACCCCGATTTACCCTGTTTTTATTTTTGGAATCTTTTGGGCATATTTTAGAGAAAACATCACAAATATGTGTCCAGGCTGTGAATGAAATTTTGCAGAAAAACTTGATGTAATGTAAACAACTTTAAAAAAGATTTAACACTCGTACACACATCTGCAAAAAACATTCCTTGTATGGAAGAAAACACATTTTTTTTTTTTTAAATCTGTACCTACTTTATTTTTGAAAAGCACAATTTTTTTGTTCGGCCTTTTATGACATTTTTATTGTATTTCACTTTAATACTCGCTATTGGTTTAAGTTAATGGCACTTTTAATATTCAGATGAGTTTTCTTGTAACTTCCTGTTCTTATTTTGGCTTTCATTATAGCGATTCTTTATTTTGTATTTTTGTAGGGTGCTGTGCCTCTAGGAAATGCAACCAGCGATAATATAGCAAATCTAGGTCTAAAAGTAGGTCAGGTGGTATACAAGTGTCCAAGGTGCATTAGTATAAAACCAGAAAGAGCACATCATTGCAGTGTCTGTAAAAGATGCATTAAGTAAGTATTCATCTCAGCATGGGTCGCCGTGTCTAAGTGTTCTTGAACTTGCATCTAGCAATATTAGCAGTCACTGAAAGTCTCTGAAAATGTACTATGCTATTTTTACCAGCTTTGTGATGTGAGCAGGTAGCATTCTGTTTTAATTTAAATCCTATGTTAACTTGATGAGTATATCTTAAAAATCTATGAAGACACTGTGACCTTGTCGCAGTATATGACAGTTATGAACTTAAAAGTCAAAACAGTATAAAGTACAGTTACATTATCCTTTTTGTATTGACTTGAATCTATATTATTAGATGTAATGAGCTTGATTCAAATTTATTAATTAGTAAAATCACACTGGTGTTGTTGATTTCATTGCAATTTGTGAGAGCTGGCTGTGTGATTTTTGCATTGCTTTACAACTTTTATAAATGATGCTTCAATCATACAGATTTCTGAGTGGCAGAAACATGTACCCAGGCTTATAAATGTATTTATAATTATTTGTAAAATACTGTCTCTCAGCTTTCATACAAAATTCAAATATGTATTTGTGATTGGCTCAAGACCTCAACATTTTCTTTGACCATACTGAGCCATCCATGCCTTTAACCATATCTGACGCTGGTGTTGTTGTGACCAAGCACTTATTCAAATTAAAACATTTGTTGATTCAATAATTAATATTATTTCAAACTCTCTATGATGTCACAACACCATTGCTGGATTGGTCAATTGGACAGCCTTTTTGAATTTCTAAATTATATATTGATAAATCATTCATACTGTTCATTTTTGAGTTTATTATTTACGAATGATTTTTTATTTATTCAAGTCATTACGATTACATTCTGATTGCATCTGGTAAAA